AGATACTAATATAATGATCAAATATATAGGAGCATGATATTATAAATCATATTAAACATAGTTCATCATCATCAACGAAAGTACCGGTACCTTATTGTAGTTGTATGAAAAATAAAAGAGAGTGGAAACAATTTGTTTAGGCTACGTAATAGCTTAATGTAGCAGCTGGTAAATCATAGGAAATAATAATTATGCAAATCAAGTTGCTGTTAGCACTGGAAACAGAAATAATGTATAAATCAAATAGATAATGATACAGTGCTCAAATAGGCCTATAATATAGGACCAAGATGTTATAAATCGTATCAAGCATAGTTCATCAACATTATTTGTGTTCCCAGTGCAAAGCTAAACTAAATTTGCATATTATTTCCTATGATTTTAAGATTTTAAAAAATGACTCTATGTATGAGCCCTCAAGTTATAAAAGATAATAAAGATATTATTTTCAACGTGACTCTTACTAATATTCATTTACCCTGACAGCTTCCGAAGTACCAAACATGTTCTGCCCAGACAATGTGTACGATTCCCCAGGATATGTTCATTTCAATGTCTCCGCAACAGATAAAGAGGGCGCTGTTTATATCACGTGTGACCATTTGACTGGAAGTTTGTTCAATGTTACCACGCTAGTTTCATGCGTAACAACTGATACTACCGGTAATCGTGCTACCTGCAGTTTTATTGTAATTATAGGTTAGTAATTGTTTTTATGCATTGTTAAACTTCGTTTGTGAATACCAGTATCAACTGTAGATAACGCAAATATGGAGGCGGAGCAGCAATTCATTGTTTATTATTAAATGTTTATTGATATTGAACATTTGATAGTAATGTAACGCAATGTACACGTCTTAACCTTTTTCATTTATATCATAGATAAAAAGCACAGTGATAAACTGTATTATAGACCAGATGGCATAAATTATTCCGTTGGTTAACTATATCTAGTCAATAACATTTGACAATTAGTCCGAACCGTCTGTTGATTGTTTTCTAATCTAATGTTTATTATATAATAGTTTTTCTATCAATAAATTGATTATTGAAAGAAAACTATATATTTTATATAATACTTGATTCTAAATTTAAAGTATTGTTTTTATCTGGAAAGGTATACTGGATATACAGTATCATATTTAAGTCGTTTAGGCCTATATACTTAGTGTTTTTATTTAGCTTATTTTTTAAATAATTCGATTGTTATGCATATTATATGATTTTATATCATAAATTACTTTCGGTTTCTTCAAATTTGAAATTTATACTGTTACTTTCATTTCTTGGACAAATATTTTTATAGTTGATAAAAAATATTAGTATTATTTCTAATTAAAATAATATTTTTAAATCATAGATAAAATAGCTCCAGTAATAAACTGTACTATACCCCAGATCACATCAATCATCCCATTGGTTTACTACAGCCAGCCAATAGCAGTTGACGACTTATCTGAACCGACTGTTGATTGTTTTCCTGTATCTGGATCGAGGTTTGCAATTGGTTCCACGAAAGTTGTGTGCACTGCAAGGGACGATGCCAATAATACAGCTAGCTGTTCATTTGCTGTTAATGTCTGTATGTATGATGACATAAATCGACATAATAATAATAATAATAATAATAATAATAATAATAATAATAATAATAATAATAATAATAATAATAATAATAATAATAATAATAATAATAATAATTATTATTATTATTATTATTATTATTATTAGTATTATTATTATTATATTATAAAATATTCTTTATTTAATTGGTGATTTGTCTTTAATTTACAGAGAAACGTAAAGTTAATGTCTTGATAGTATAAGACGTAGTAATCCATTTAGCATGTTTTAGAATGGTATTACTTTTTCTTGGTCTTCACAAATAGCCACTGGTTATCTAGAAATGTGTACAGAAAGCTTTTGTGGCAAGCCACCGAATGTGATTTTTTTCGAGTATAATTAATAAAGAGTTCTAATTTTAAAAGATAAAAATGGTTTGTGTTTAAATTATACTGATTTTTTTTATGATTTGTCATGTTGCAATGATACATGGTCTCAATATAATGAATGTAAATATTTTCTGTTGACAATGATGTGATACTTTAATAAATTGTTATTCTGATATTAGCCCACATTATAATTTGATGTTAACATGTATTAAAATACCATAAGATCACGTAACTGATACATTACACATTGCAAATCTAGAGATTAGCCACACGGCCACGAGGTGTGAATGGCTTTGGGTGTTTTTTCTTTAAATAAAAGATTAATAAAGAATGTTAATTTCAACGAGACTCTCACAAATATGCATTTACCCTCACAGCTTCTGAAGTACCAAATATTTTCTGCCCAGATGATCACCTATATGATTCCCCAGGATATGTTCATTTCAATGTCTCCGCAACAGATAAAGAGGGCGCAGTTGATATCACGTGTGACCATTTGACTGGAAGTTTGTTCAATGATACTACACCAGTTACATGCGTAGCAATTGATACTACTGGTAATCGTGCTACCTGCATTTTTATTGTAACCATAGGTTGGTCATTGTTTTTATGCATTGTAAAAACCATTTAAAACTTAGTTTTCAACTACCAGTATCAACTGTAGATGACGCAAATATGGAGGCGGACCGGCAATTCATTATTTAATATCAAATGTTAATTGACATTAAACATTTGATATTAAACAATTAAATGTTTATTATAAGGAGGTGGATATATTCAGGTGACCGTAAACACATCAGTAAACGTTCCTTATTATAAAGTGGAAATGCTGGATGCCCTCTGGTGGCAATAAAGTGCCTTTTGCATGGAAGTTGTTGAAATTAACTCCAAAAATTAGAAATTTAGCATTTTCTTATGAATTGGAGTGCCATTTCTTGACATCTGTGGTGTTTTATCCTTAAAATCTTCCCCGACCATGGTGGGGATGAGGTGAATATTCTGTGCAAAATTAGAACCTCCTTTAAAAATCGTGCCTACGGGCTTCAAGTGAGTTATTTTTACTCTAATTCCGGATTTTTAAAAAGTGTCCACATGTTTTCCAAGTGTATTTCCATGTGCTCGGCAGTGGCGTATATGGGGGAGGGCGTGGGGGCGCACTCCCCCAAAAATTACTCCCCCCCCCCAGGCGCCCCCCCCCCACCCCAAAAAAATCATGGT